TTAAAGAATATTTCAAATGATATCTGGCCAGCCATTAACGGTAAAAAAATTAAGGCAACTCTTCAAGCTTTTTAACGTGGAATTTTAAAGAAAAGGCCTTCAGGCCTTTTTCGCGTTTATGAGCTTTCATGGATATTCAAAATTTTGACCCTTTGTGGGGGAGGTATCAGAAGGAGTCTATCTATCGATACATCCCATCTTCACAGCAAATTTTGTGCTAGTAGAAATAATGGCATTTTTAAAAAATGAAGAGAACCGGATGCTTATTTCAGATTTTATAACCGTTTTGGTTATTCAAAACTTTGACCCTTTGTGAGGGAGGTACCAGAAGGAATGGTTCAATCTCGACCATCTTTATAACAGATCCTTTGTTCATGGAAATGTTAAGATGTACTAAGTCTGAATCGAATCGAACATTTATTTCGTGTTTTATGAGCTTCATGAATATTCATAATGTTGACCCCCTTTTGTGGGAGGTATTTTCAAAGATATTATTGAAGGATATCTTCTGGTCTGTTATACTGGATTTTTTGAGACAATTTTTTGAGCACATCATCAGAATTATCGCGGATTTTTAAAGCCTATCTTCGGGATTATAATTTAGGATTTTTTGCATTTTTTCCCTATTTTCAGCCTTTTAATGTGGGCTTTTTTTTAAAGAAAATATTAAAGCATTTTTCCTTCCTATATTTTCCTCTTTCACATCAAGTTATTATTCCAAAAAAATAATCTAAAGAAAATTATTTTGTTTTCTTCCATTATTTATGGGCATTGTGTGCCGTATTTCAAGGTTGTTTCGTGCCGAGCAAAACAAAAGCGTAAATAGAGAAAGAAAGGAAACACAACGCAATAACAGAAAAAATAGAAACAAAACAGGACAAATATTATGAAGGAATATCATGCACGCACTTTTGGGGTTTCCGAATGAAATAAAACAACAACAACAGGAGAAGCAAAGGGAAAATGTGAGGAGACTAATTTGAATATTTCATTTGAGACTCCCGTCGATTCCATCTCCTACCACTATTCCTGCTCCTCCTGCCCCTCCCCCTTTCGTCATGTAAATCAAAACAAAACAACATGTTTCTATTTAGTCCCTAACCACAAAAACGAAATTAACCAACAGCAACAACAACAACAACGACAATAGAAATAAAACATTTGTTTGTTGGGGCGAATTTGTGCACATGTGGATGTGGATATGGTGTCTGTGTGTGTGTGAGTGCGTGCATGCCTCTGGTTTTTTTTTTGTAGGTCGCTAGGTAATCCGTAATGGCTAAAGATTTAAATTTATGATTGTTTTATGGCAGTCAATCTGTTGGACACCACCCCCCCCCCATCCATCGACCACCTCAGCTTAGCTCAAGCCCATGGATTATTGTGGCAATCGTTTTTGTCCATTAATCCAGCTCTGGTTTTTTAATGCTGCTCCTACGACTGGCTGGCTGACTGGCTGATGATTGCTTAATGTTCCACCACCATTTGCTGGCATTTTGTTGGGGGGAGGGTATGGCGGCTTTCTGTAATTATACGTTGCCTTGGCTGTTGTTGTTTTGTGTTTTTGTATTTAGTTATAAAACATTTATCATGCGTCGACCCCCTATGGACTATTTCCGCGGATTTGTTACGGCATTTAGAATGTGGTCATGACAACAATCTTTTCATTTCATTTCGTTTCTAAATGGCGAAGAGTAGGGCCATAGATTTATTTTTTGGGGAAAAATGTAAAACAGAGGACAACATTTTGTAAATTTTTAAGGAGATTTTTGACAGGCCACCTATTGGAATAAATTTGTAATTTTTTCCCAAGGGACATCTGGTTTCAAACGAGGCGTGGATCTTTTATAAAATATTTTTTTTCTAGGACCAAACGAGGCGTGGATTTTTTATAGAATATTTTTTCTAGGACCAAACGAGGCGTGGATTTTTTATAGAATATTTTTTCTAGGACCAAACGAGGCGTGGATTTTTTATAGAATTTTTTTTTTCAAGGACCAAACGAGACGTTGATTTTTTTATAGAATATTTTTTTTAAAGACCAAAAGAGGCGAGGATTTTTTAAAGAATATTTTTTCAACAACCCAACAGAGGCGTGGATTTTTTAAAGAATATTTTTTCAAGGACCAAACAAGGCGTGGATTTTTAAAAAATTTTTTTTTCAACAATCCAACAGAGGCGTGGATTTTTTAAAGAATATTTTTTCAAGGACCAAACGAAGCGTGGATTTTTTAAAAACAATATTTTTTCAACAACCAACAGAGGCGTAGATTTTTTAAAAAAATATTTTTTCAACAACCAACAGAGGCGTGGATTTTTAAAAATATTTTTTTAACGACAAACAGAGGCGTGGATTTTTAAAAATATTTTTTTAACGACAAACTGAAGTGTGGATTTTTAAAAATATTTTTTTAACGACAAACAGAGGTGTGGATTTTTAAAAATATTTTTTTAACGACAAACAGAGGTGTGGATTTTTAAAAATATTTTTTTAACGACAAACAGAGGTGTGGATTTTTAAAAATATTTTTTTAACGACAAACAGAGGTGTGGATTTTTAAAAATATTTTTTTAACGACAAACAGAGGTGTGGATTTTTAAAAATATTTTTTAACGACAAACAGAGGTGTGGATTTTTAAAAATATTTTTTTAACGACAAACAGAGGTGTGGATTTTTAAAAATATTTTTTTAACGACAAACAGAGGTGTGGATTTTTAAAAATATTTTTTTAAGGACAAACAGAGGCGTGGATTTTTAAAAATATTTTTTTAACGACAAACAGAGGCGTGGATTTTTAAAAATATTTTTTTTAACGACAAACTGAAGTGTGGATTTTTAAAAATATTTTTTTAACGACAAACAGAGGTGTGGATTTTTAAAAATATTTTTTTAACGACAAACAGAGGTGTGGATTTTTAAAAATATTTTTTCAACGACAAACAGAGGTGTGGATTTTTAAAAATATTTTTTTAACGACAAACAGAGGTGTGGATTTTTAAAAATATTTTTTTAACGACAAACAGAGGTGTGGATTTTTAAAAATATTTTTTTAACGACAAACAGAGGTGTGGATTTTTAAAAATATTTTTTTAACGACAAACAGAGGTGTGGATTTTTAAAAATATTTTTTTAACGACAAACAGAGGTGTGGATTTTTAAAAATATTTTTTTAACGACAAACAGAGGTGTGGATTTTTAAAAATATTTTTTTAACGACAAACAGAGGTGTGGATTTTTAAAAGAGAATATTTTTTTCATGAACCAACAGACCCCTTTTTTTAACGACAAACAGAGGCGTCGATTTTTAAAAATATTTTTTTAACGACAAACAGAGGTGTGGATTATTAAAAATATTTTTTTAACGACAAACAGAGGTGTGGATTTTTAAAAGAGAATATTTTTTTCATGAACCAACAGACCCCTTTGTTTTTTTAGGACCAGAAGATGTGTCGATCTTTTAAAGACCACTTTTTCTACTGTTGCGTAGATTTTTTATTGTTTTTTTCCAGGAAGCAACTGAGGCGTAGACTTCTTAAAAAAATCAAGCATCAATCAATGCGTAGATGTTTTAAATATTTGTTTAAGGACCAAACGTGAATTTTTAGTTATATTTTTCTTCAAGGACGAACAGGGGCATGGGTTTTTTAAATATTTTTTTTTTAAACGACCAACAGACGGGCGTGGATTTTTCAAACGTGAATTTTTAAAAATATTTTTTCCCCGTGAATTGTAAAATATATATTTTTTTTCAAGAACCAACAGGGGTCTGTATTTTTTTTTAAAAAAAGTTCTTCAAGGAAGTTAAAGAAAATATTTTCAAACGTGGATTTTTAAGAGGCTTGGATTTTTTAAAGAATATATTTTCAGGGAGAACATTTTTTTCAAGGACCAAAGATGGATTTTTAAGAATATCTTTTCTGGGACCTATAGGAAGTAGATAGTTGATTTTCAATAAGCCATGCAGTATAGTAAGGAAATATTAACATATGTTGTTTAAAAGACCGTCTTCTTACTTCCCATATTAAAACATAAATTTTTATATAATTTTTTTTAAGGTCAACCCAATTTTGCGGACCTGTTTGAATTTCTAAGTGAACATTTCAAATCCAGAATTATTTCACATCTGCCAAAGTGTTGAGTATAAATGTAATCCTATTCAAGTAATTACAATTACATTAAAGATAATTCCACTACACATAAATACACTATGTACACTAATACATACATACCTCTCAATGGCGATGCTGCTGATATCTTCTCATCCATGCATAAGTAATATTAATAATAGCAATAATAATTTTGTAATCCACAATTTATGGCATTAACAGAATATCGAAGCAATTAAACACCAATTATTGCAACAACAATAAATTTTAATAACACTATTTAATTGATTTTTAATTACTTATTTGATTTTATATTTATTGGTATGATATTTTATTTTAATCGATTAACACTAAATATATAATTATATATTTTATATTGCCACTTTCTTGTGAAGATATGCTTGGAATATATTAATTTTTCTTAATTTTTTTGCTTCAGATTTTTATTTTTTTGATTAAAATTTTGATATTGGAATTTTGAGATTAAGATTTCACGATTGAATTGGAAACACTTGCACTTTTTTTTTGATATTTTTTTTTTTACTTTTTTTCAAGGATAATCCCTTTATTCCCTTATCCTGACATGTAATAATGCTTACAGATTTTAGTTGATTAAGCTTTCTCGTTATGCTGACTCGTTTTGCCTTTTTTTGATGGATTTTAAATTTAAATTTTTTTAATCCTTAAAAATAACACTGGCTATATTTTCTTGTTGTTATTATTATTCTTTTTTATTATTATGACCTGTATATCCTTTGGAATATTTTTCCTACTTTTTTTTTTGTTTTTTTTTTGCCTCAACTCAACTTTCACTTGAAACGGAAATTTTTCTTTTATACTTTACGCTTGAATAACACATTTAATTTAAGTATGAATTGCTTTTCTTGTCGGTATTTTTTTTGTATTTTCTGTTGCTGCTTTTACTGCTGCTGCTGTTGTTGTTCAACAAACTTTGATATAAATATTAAATTTGAACATACACACCATGTGCTCGCTCGTCGCTGCACATAACACTTATGTATTTTTTTTGCCTTTTTTTGGAAAACACTTTTTTCTTCTACTCTTGAATGGGCATTCAAGTGAAATTTTTATTATTTATATAAATATGTTGTTTTTTTGCACTATTATTATTATTATTATTTTGTTAAATATTTTATTTCATTTTGATAAGATTTTGATTAAAATTTTGTTGGCCTTTTTTTGTTTGGGGGGTTTTGGTAGTTTTAATAGAAACTTTTATTGGCTTAGTTTGATGTTTTGTTATCCTTTAACAGGTTTCAGAGTATGGTCGTTTGCACAAAGTGTGCTGTCGTTTTTAGGTAATCGATATTGTGAACATGGGCTGGGAATTGATATTTAAGGATATTTTTGTTTGCGTTTAATGATAAATCTGGTCGTTAGCATAAAGTGTCTTGTTGATTTTTTTCGATTTTTGCGGAATAATTTTTTTTCAATCGAAGCGTTGTTTGTGGATTTTACAGAATAATTGTCAATAAGTGGACCTAGTTTGGTCCTTGAAAAAATAATGGAAATCTTTGGAACCTTGTAGTTGACATTAAAAGTATGGTCGTTTAAGCAAAGTGACGTTTCGGAAAATATGGTCGTCTACACAAAGCGACGTTTTGGAAAGTATGGTCGTTTCCACAAAGTGACGTGCTGGAAAGTATGGTCGTTTACACAAAGTGACTTGTTGAATTTTTACGATTTTTGCGGATTTTTTTTTTATCGAAACACTGTTTGTTAATCAAAGCCCATTCTCTAAGTGGTTGTCTAGAAATGGAATACCGTTAGTATCTATGAAAAATTTTGGAATTTTGTAGTTGATTAAAAAAGTATGGTCGTCTGCACAAAATGACTCGCTGGAAAGTATGGTCGTTCACACAAAGTGACCTGTTCCAAAGTATGGTCGTCTATATAAAGTGACGCGCTGGAAAGTATGGTCGTTAATACAAAGTGTCTTGTTGAATTTTTACGATTTTCTTGTAATCGAAGCCCATACTTTAAATGGTTGTCAATAACTGGAATCCCGTTAGTAAAAATTAAAATTTTTGGAATTTTGTAGTTGAGTAAGAAGGTATGGCCGTTTGCACAAAGTGACGAGAAGTATGGTCGTTCACAAAAAGTGATGTTTTGGAAAGTATGGTCGTTCACACAAAGTGATGTTTAAGAAAGTATGGTCGTTAACGCAAAGTGTTTAGTTGAATTTTTACGATTATAGCGGAATTATTTTTTTTTAATCGAAGCTCTGTTTTTTAATCGAAGCCCAGTAACAGTGGAAATATTGGCAATTTTGTAGTTGATAAAAAAGTATGGTCGTTAACACAATGTGACCTGTTGCGAAGTATGGTCGTTTACACAAAGTGACATACTGAAATTTTACGAATTTTTCAGAACTGGATTTTTCTGCCGAAGCCTTGTTTTCTTTAGAGATTCGTTTGCCTTTTTTTGTTGGATTAATTTAAACTTATAATTTTTTTTTTAATTTTTATTTAAGAAATGGTAAACGTATGGTATGGTCGTTTGCACAAAGTATGCTGTCGTTTTATAGGGAATAACGATTTTGAATATGAGCTGTGTATCAATATTTTAGGATATATTTGTTTGCTTTTTATGATGTATGGTCGTTACCAAATTTGAATTATTCAGAATGGAGTTTTACAGTCGGATTTTCGCTGTATATTCTCAATTATTTTTTTTTTAATTTTCACTAAATAACACTGTTATGATTTTTGATTTGAAATCCAGAAATCCAGAATGCTGTATTTTGTCGATATTATTAATATTTTATATTTGTTTTTTTTTTTTATTTTTAATTTTTGAATGTTTTGATTTTAATCGTAATCATTTAAAAATTCCTTTTTTTTAATTAAAATTGATATTTATTTTTATTTGTCTTCCGGACGAAAGTAGTATTATTTATGTCTATTTTGTTTGACTTTATTTGCTTGATTTTTCCTATATTTTTTTTTTGGTCTTATTCAATTTAGTTAATAGTTAACTTACTTCGATTTTTGATTGCCGCTTTCTATTTTGATATTTTCAATATGATATTTTATATTTTTTTTATTTTCAACTTCAACTTTTTTCTTTAATATTTAAATCAATTTTTAATTTTCTTCAAAATTAATCGATAATAATTCCGACATCCAGCGATATGCATGCAATTTTATCTGTAATGAAAAGAAACGAGTATTGATTAAAAATTTGATCACAATATTTTGTCAGAATGTTTTTACTAAATGACGGATCCTGGAGAATTTCTTTGAATATATTCCGCAAAAATTATTAGATTTAAAAAAAAAAATCGAAAATATTGTGGAGGAATCCTGGTAAAATATTCTAAAGAAATGCAAGTTTATGACGCTAAGCATAGACTCTACAATTATCCTTCCCAATTATTCTAAACGATTTTTTTGAGAAAACCATTGAAGAAAGGAATATAGAAGTAGGCTTCTCTGTGGGAAATCTTTAATGCAATATCCTCGATTTTTTTTTTTGAAAATTATTAAGGAATCCACTTATATAAAGCAGGGATTCTAAAGGAATCTTTTGACAATGTCCAAGAGAAATCACTTGAAGATATTGTTAAGATATCCACTTTTGTTGACCTTAATGTGCATTCTATTCGACATCAAATCTTTAAAAATAATCTTAAGAAATATCTTTTAAAGGGTTCCTTCGGAAATATACTTAACCATCCTTTAAAACAAATATACATATGAACACAGTGTTTTAAGGCCTTAGCAGATATTTTAACGGAGTGCTGGAGAATTTAAAATTTAAGTTTACTAAAATTGAGCTCGAGGTCTTTGTTGAAATATTTTTTTTAATAATATTTATTTATTATTTTCGATATTTCGTCCTCCGACGGAAGACTTCATCAGGAACAATATTTGATATGATGTCTTCCGTCGGAGGACGAAATATCAAAAATAATGAATTAATATTATTAAAAAAAACAACAACATTCCAAATCTTAATATTTGCATCAAAGTTAGGTCAGGTGCGAAAATCGACAATATTTTGAATAATTATAACTCTTATAAATTGTGATGTAAGAGTTCGATTGTCTTCAAACTACACACATCTAAATATTTCTATTAACCAAAGATCTGGGGTGAAGATGGAATATATCGGTCCACTATTTCTGGTACCTCCCCTACAAAAGGTTGAAATTTTGAATATACATTAATCTCAAAAAAAAAAAAAAAAAAACGCCAAATTTACATTCGATTCCATTCCGACTCATCCGGCACATCTCAACACTTCCATCAACACAAGATCTGTTATAAACTTGATAGAGATCGGACCATTCCTTCTGGCACCGCCCCACAAAGGGTCAAAATGTTTAATAACGAAAACGATTGTAAAATCCGAAATAAACATCCAGTTCTCTTCAAATTGTACACATCACAATATTTCTATTAACCAAAGGTCTTGTGTGAAGATGGAATATATCGGTCCACTCTTTCTGGTACATCGCCAACAAAGGGGGAGGTAAAACGCGAAATTAGCATCAGATTCCATTCAGACTTGGTACATCTTAATATTTCCATCAACACAAGATCTGTTAAAAATATGGTAGAGATCGGACTATTTGTTCTGGTACCTCCCCACATAGGGTTCAAGATTTTGGAAAGTAAAACGCTCAAAGAGATCGAAAAAAGCATCCAATTCTCTTCAAATTTAACACATCCAAATATTTTTGCTAATCTGTTGTGAAGCTGATATATAGCTGCGAACCCCTTCTGCTTACTAACACACAAAGGGTCACAATTTTCAATACTTTTATCTGTCATAACTTGTTAAACAAATCAGCGATTTTTTGAGATCCCAGATATAGTGGACCGAAGTCATACTGGTATGGGCAAAATTACAAGAAAAATTAATTTTGCCCATACCGGTGTGACTTCGGTCCACTATATCTGGTATCTCACCCGCATTTCATAATTATCACATATATATTATACAGTGAAGGAAGTAACCAATATAGCCCAAACCTGGCGCGTCACAATATTTATATCATTTTAATTTAGGTCCAATACGAAATGGACAATATTGACCCATTTCTGCGGAACCCACTACATAGAGGGCCAAAAATTTGAGTAATCTTTAAAGAAGTCAAAATACATTTAAATAATCGAAATAAGTTGTTAAACAACTTTTTGGGCCCCACACTTTTGTTTTAAATCCACTCTCAAAAAAACACCTTACCAATGTTTTTCTAGATCTCCAGAGTTTTTTCTTAAGATGTACACAATTAAAGCGCTTACGAAGGTTTTTTTCAATAATCCATGTTTATAGTCATTCCACAATCCATTTATAGTCATTTTTTAAGAAAATCATCCTAGTAGACCTCATCAAAGCTTTCTTTAAAGAAATCCGACTTATCGTAGTTTTTTTTTTGTGAAATCCACTCTTAGGGACTCACCAAGCTTTGATAAGGCCTACAAGAATGATTTTCTTAAAAACAAACTGTGCTAAGGGCTTTAAACATGAATTTCTGAAATAAAAACGTACGTAAGAGCTATAATACTTCTTAAAAAAAACTATGGAGATTTTTACAAGTAAAAAACATTGAGTTTGTCCGGGCCAAACTTTTAATAAGCTCCACCTTAGGATAAAGGAAACATTAGTGCCCATTATGACCCAGATATTCCAATTTTTAGACATATTCAGGGGAAAATGTGCCGAAAATTATCAAAATACCGAATATCGGAAAATACGGCTATATGGGGCTATACAAAAACGTGGACCTGGACAGTGTTTCGCCAAAAGAGCTAGAACCAATTTCTAGACAAATCCGGGAAGAAATGTGGTAAAAACCATTAAAATGCCGAATATCGGGAGGAACCGTTATATGGGCGCTATACCAAATCGTGGGCCTATACATGCAATGTTTCGCCAAAAGAGGTAGAACCCATTTTGACCTATAAATACCAATTTTCAGCCAAATCCGTGAAAAAAAATGTGGCAAAAATCGTCAAAATACCGAATATCGGGAGGTACCGTTGTATGGGGGCTATACCAAATTGTGGACCCATACATGCAATGTTTCGCCACCGGAGCTGGAACCCATTATGACCTACAACTACAAATTTTCAGACAAGTTCTTGAAAAAATGTGTCAAAAATCGTCGAAATACCGAATATCCGGAGGTACCTTTATATGGGGGCTACACCAAAGCGTGGACCTATACATGCAATGTCTCGTTACATGAACTGGGACCCGTTATGACCTACAAATACCAATTTTCAGCCAAATCCGTGAAAAAATGTGGCAAAAATAATCAAAATACCGAATATCGGAAGGTACCGTTATATGGGGACTATACCAAAACGTGAACCAATATATCTCATTTTCAATACCAACCATACTAGACACAATACAAATTGCACTGCTAAATTTTGGCGCTCTACGTCAAATAACGTGGGTTGTATCGTGATTTCAACAGACAGATGGACAGACAGGCGGACAGACAGACAGACAGACAGACATACAGACGTACATCGTTAAATCGACTTAGAATTTTATGCTGATTATGGATGTTACAAACGGAATGACAAAGTTAATGGAGGGTATAAAAAACCATTGGTAAGGTGTAAATCCACACTTGTCGGCGCCATTAAAAATTTGGACATTTCTTGTAGGGATTCGAAATATTACCTTCACTGACCTTCCACAATTTAAAGTGAATGTATTTATACCCCACACCACATAGTGGTAAGGGTATTATGTCTTTGTGCATTTGTTTGTAACATGGAGAAGGAAGCGAAATAGACCCATAGTTACTTTTGAAGATCTCCATAGAATCACTTTCTGATTTGATGTCAGCCCGTCTGTCAATGTATTCTTGTGAACACAATGCAGGTCGCATTTATTATCCGATTGAGATGAAAATTTCCAAACTACTTTGTTTGGCCCAAGGACGAACCCTATGGAAATTGGAGATAATCGATAAACATTTAGATATAGCTCCCATATATATCTTTGTCCGATTTGCCTTTTATTGTCCACCAAACTTGTAATATCAACCCGAATAGTATGAAATTTTGCACATACAACCAAATTAGGCCTGAAAATAAGTGTGCCAAATTTGATCGAAATCGGTTCAGATATAGCTATAGCTCCTATATATATTGTTCATCCGATTTGTTATTTTTGTCCTCCGCAGCCGTAAAACGCACTCTTTAACAACAATATTTGGGGAAATATATTAAATGCAGCTCAGAAATACCTTTGCTAAATTTTATCGAGATCGGTTCAGATTTGGATATAGCTCCCATATATAACTTCGTCCGATTTACCTTTTATTGTGCACCAAACGTCTTATATTTGCCCAAATGGGATGGAATTTGGCACATACGACCGAATTGAGTCTAGAAGGTAGTATGCCAAATTTGGTGAAGATCGGTTTAGATATGGCTATAGCTCCCGTATATATTGTTCAACCGACTTGTCGTATTTGTTACCCACAGCCGTAATATGCTCTACGTAACAACGATATTCAGGGAAATATATCAAATACAGCTCAGAAATATCTTTGCCAAATTTTATCGAGATCGGCTCAGATTTGGATATAGCTCCCATATATATCTTTATCTGATTTCAAATTAATTTTGCACCAAATGGCCAATACAAGTCCGAATTTAAAAGATTCAAATGCTTTGGCATATTTAGTCCTTTGAACTTTAAATTATACTTATAATCATAGCGTGTATGATTGGATTCTCCCATAAAAACTTTTAATTGTTATATGGAGCTCTACTAAATTAGCAAAGTGGTGTAGGATATCAAAAAGTAGACCCCGCCTGAGTTTTGGACTTTCTTTACTGTTTTTTTTTTTTGACATTTTGATTTACCTTTCGAATCTCGGTCTCCAATTTAATATTTTTTAAATATTTGGTGTATATAAAAATTCTGGATGGTTTTTATATCCTCTTCATTTGATATAATTTATTATTTTGGGAAGAATTATTTGTTGAGCACTTTCTGAAGAAATATTTCACTCCACTAATATGTTGATTTTTTTTCTAAATTTTGTTTTCAATTTTATAAATTTTTGATATTTAATTTTTTAAATTTTTTGAATTGTATTCAAGTATTTTTTAAGTATTTAAAAATGTTTTTTTTATTTTTTTTTAATATTTTTTTAATGTCGTTGTTCACAATTTTATTCGGCTGATTTTTTATTATATATATTTTTCTATATTTTTTATATTATATATTTTTATATTTATCTCGATTTAAATTCGAATTTTCATGCCTCAATTTTGAATTTCCTTTTTTTCTTAAATTAACAAACAATTTTTAGCGCCAAGCCATCGACATATATCTCTCTTCGAAACAAATGCTTTACTCAATAATAATTTTGAAGCCTTCCTCCCCACACTCTATCACTTCTCGATTCTTAGCAACTCCTTGTATTTTTTCTCTTTTCTTGAATTTTGTATTTTTTTTTAAAGAATATTTAAATTTTATTAGATTTTTTTTTTTTGGATTTTAATTTTGATTTATTTTTTCACTGCTGGCTCAAACTGCCGGTATTTTTTCTGTTGGCCGTCTCAACAAATAATTTATTATCCGTCAACTGGATGATAGGGGCCTCATGGACTACGCAAGTCTTGAATTCGACTGAAGTTGAAATTCAAATACGAAATCAAGCAGCACAACGTGCTTCAGTGGCCAGGATATTTGTTTGTGACCAAAATATGGGGAAATTTCTCCCAAAGAGTAGCTCTCTCTCTCTTTTTTACAATTTCCTAGCAAAAGAGAGTAAAGTGTTTCTCTTTGACTTATATTGGTTTGTTTTGATTATAATATTAGTCCTACGTCCCATTCTCCACATTTGGAGGAAAGCCTGCACATGGTCTGGCATATAACATAATCCAGTGTATTTGTTGTTGTTTTTGGTTTTCCTCTCTTGCTTCCTTTCGCCCTCTCCATCCTCAATTCCATGCCTAGCACCAACACCACCACACACACACACAATATAGGTTAAGTTTTTCCTATCATTTTTGGTTGTCTGTTTTGTTTTTATTTTCATTCCTTCCATTTTCATTACTCATTACCCACACACTCACATATACATTTGTATGCTACCAATATATGCACGTGCACAATCAAACATAAACATTATTAACTTTCACCGCTCTCCGGGCACTTTCTTCAGTACTTCGTCCTGCTTCCTTGTTTTGGTGTTTTTTTTTTCATTGCTTATAAGGATATGTGTGTCGAACCGAAAGCCAGTAGGAGTGAGAGAGTCTGTGTGGAATTTTGTTGTTGTTGTTGATTTTTTTGTTCTCTAGCTTTACCATAGTTTACGCTATCGTAATTACAGAGCAACAGTGTCAGCGGTTTTCAGTCATGTATATGTTGGTGTGTGTGTGCGTTGGACCTGGTGCATGTTCGGGGCTTTTTATTATCCTTAGACGAGAGCTGGTGTGGCTTTTTCTTAGGATTTGCTATGATTTTTTTCTACAAAAACGATTGCTCCGAGAAATCTTAGGCTTATGGCGGCAAGTGTTGAAGTCATCTATGACAGTGGATGTAGGGGTGTATGAGTGTGTATGCGTGTGTGTGTGTCGTCCTTGTGTGCACGCTCTCTAGTGTTTGTGTTTAAATAAAAATGGGATTTTCCTTTGCTCAAGATTTTGCAATTTAAATTAATAATAAATGGGATTATGGCAACAAGATATTATTCCCCACGGGGACAGAGAGTGAGACAGAGAGAGGGAGAGCGTTAGATTTATGTGTCACAAATAAACTGAAAGCCATTGATAAGCAGAGATGCATTGGCGAATGGGGGAAAGGGGTAATATGTAATTAAAGGCTATATAAAAATGAATTTTAAACCGAAAAATTGGAGATCTGAAAATGGCATTTTTATATGATTTTTTAGAAAATTGTAAGACCTAGATTCAGATCTATAAGCGTGGACTTTTAATAGAAATAAGGCCGTATAAATTGAATTTTTTGAAACAAATTCAGAAATTGGTAATTAAAAGCTGGATTTTTTAAGGAAAAATTGAGATCTGGAAAATGGAATTTTTATATGATTTTTTAGAAAATTCTAAGACGTAGACTCAGGTCTATAAACGTGGACTTTTAAGGGAAATAAGGCCTTATAAATTGAATTTTTTGAAACAAATTCAAGCAGCAAACCTTTGGCCACAAACCCCAGTGTGGGGGCTTTATACAAATTTAAGACCCTCACAATAAACGCAGATTTTTAAGTTAAGACCTGGACTCAAAATATTAAACGTGGATTTTTTAATATAAAAAATTAAAATCTAGACTTGGACTTATAATGGTGCAGAGATGCATTGGCAAATGAAGGAAAGGGGTGATATATAAGAATTTTTAACCGAAAAAATAAAAATTAAATTTTTTTATGATTTTTTAGAAAATTGTAGGACCTAGGTTCAGGTCTATAAGAGTGGACTTTTAAGAGAAATAAGGTCGTATAAATATTTTTTTTTTTTTAATTCAAATTTAATCCAGACTGGGGCTACAAGTGAGCATTAAAAAAAAAATAAAATAAATAAAACGAAAATTTTCTAATACAAATTTAAGACCTGGACAGGGAAATTTGGAACCCAGGATTTGGTCTTCAATTGGGGATTAATTTTAGAAGAAGGTTTAGAATTGGAATGAGGTCAGAAAATATGAAATGTTTGTTTTCTTTTTTTAATTGAGATTCACAATATCTTCTTCGAACTTTATTTTTTCATACTCTGGTTCCTTTAATATTAAATTTCAATACTTTTTGACAACCCAAAAATAATAGATTTTAAAAATACATTTATTCCATTAATATTGCATTCGTCGAAATAAAATTCACCATTGATTCCATTAATATTTATATGTATGTACCTCCGTCGCCAGCATCAATGTTATCGACAGGCAGTGTTAAAAATATTCATTAACAGCTTTTATAGCAGCACTCGTGGGCTTTTTTTCTGTTCTCCAGCTAATATAAATGCTATGAATAAATTTAACTAAATATTTAACTAAATATTTAAATATTCTTTAAAAAATCCACGCCTGGGATGGTCGTTAACAAAAAATATTTTTTTAAAAAATCCACGCCTTGGATGGTCGTTGAAAAAATATTCTTTAAAAAATCCATGCCTTGGATGATCGTTGAAAAAATATTCTTTAAAAAATCCACACCTGGGATGGTCGTTAAAAACATATTCATTAAAAAATCCACGCCTGGGATGGTCGTTAAAAACATATTTTTTTAAAAAATCCACGCCTTGGATGGTCGTTGAAAAAATATTCTTTAAAAAATCCACGCCTCTGTTGGGTCGTTAAAAAATATTCTTTAAAAAATCCACGAATCTGTTGGGTCGTTGAAAAAATGTTCTTTAAAAAATCCACGCCTTGGATGGTCGTTGAAAAAATATTCTTTAAAAAATCCACGCCTTGGATGGTCGTTGAAAAAATATTCTTTAAAAAATCCACGCCTTGGATGGTCGTTGAAAAAATATTCTTTAAAAAATCCACGCCTTGGATGGTCGTTGAAAAAATATTCTTTAAAAAATCCACGCCTTGGATGGTCGTTGAAAAAATATTCTTTAAAAAATCCACGCCTTGGATGGTCGTTGAAAAAATATTCTTTAAAAAATCCACGCCTTGGATGGTCGTTGAAAAAATATTCTTTAAAAAATCCACGCCTTGGATGGTCGTTGAAAAAATATTCTTTAAAAAATCCACGCCTTGGATGGTCGTTGAAAAAATATTCTTTAAAAAATCCACGCCTTGGATGGTCGTTGAAAAATATTCTTTAAAAAATCCACGCCTTGGATGGTCGTTGAAAAAATATTCTTTAAAAAATCCACGCCTTGGATGGTCGTTGAAAAAATATTCTTTAAAAAATCCACGCCTTGGATGGTCGTTGAAAAAATATTCTTTAAAAAATCCACGCCTTGGATGGTCGTTGAAAAAATATTCTTTAAAAAATCCACGCCTTGGATGGTCGTTGAAAAAATATTCTTTAAAAAATCCACGCCTTGGATGGTCGTTGAAAAAATATTCTTTAAAAAATCCACGCCTTGGATGGTCGTTGAAAAAATATTCTTTAAAAAATCCACGCCTTGGATGGTCGTTGAAAAAATATTCTTTAAAAAATCCACGCCTTGGATGGTCGTTGAAAAAATATTCTTTAAAAAATCCACGCCTTGGATGGTCGTTGAAAAAATATTCTTTAAAAAATCCACGCCTTGGATGGTCGTTGAAAAATATTCTTTAAAAAATCCACGCATTGGATGGTCGTTGAAAAAAATATTCTTTAAAAAATCCACGCCTTGGATGGTCGTTGAAAAAATATTCTTTAAAAAATCCACGCCTTGGATGGTCGTTGAAAAAATATTCTTTAAAAAATCCACGCCTTGGATGGTCGTTGAAAAAATATTCTTTAAAAAATCCACGCCTTGGATGGTCGTTGAAAAAATATTCTTTAAAAAATCCACGCTTTGGATGGTCGTTGGAAAAAATATTCTTTAAAAAATCCACGCCTTGGATGGTCGTTGGAAAAAATATTCTTTAAAAAATCCACGCCTTGGATGGTCGTTGGAAAAAATATTCTTTAAAAAATCCACGCCTTGGATGGTCGTTGGAAAAAATATTCTTTAAAAAATCCACGCCTTGGATGGTCGTTGAAAAAATATTTTTTAAAAAATCCACGCCTTGGATGGTCGTTGAAAAAATATTCTTTAAAAAATCCAGGCCGTGGATGGTCGTTGAAAAAATATTTTTTAAAAAATCCACGCCTTGGATGGTCGTTGAAAAAATATTTTTTAAAAAATCCACGCCTTGGATGGTCGTTGAAAAAATATTTTTTAAAAAATCCACGCCTTGGATGGTCGTTGAAAAAATATTTTTTAAAAAATCCACGTCTCTGTGGGTACTTAAAAAAATATTATTTAAAAAATCCACGCCTTGGATGGCCGTTGAAAAAAATATTTTTAAAAAATCCACGCCCCTGTTGGGTCGTTAAAAAATATTCTTTAAAAAATCCAAGTCTCTGGTGGTTGTTGAAAAAATATTTTACTTTTCGTTCCACCCCAATGTACCTATTATTATATTGTTATTTGTATTGGTACACGTTCGTTTGTTGCGTTTTTTGCTTCAAACTTGTTTGAAAAATCGACAGACGAAGAAAAACATTTTCCAAATATAAAAAACTGGGTTATATTGGGTAATACATAATTTTATTAGCTGTTTATAACTTCAAATTTTTTTGTTTTGTTTTTTTTTTTGTGTGCCTTTTGTTGCCTCTTTTCCTGCCAAAGGAGCAGAATTGTTAAACATTCTGCGAAAAGTTTATACGAAATGATCCATTTTATTTTGGAAGATTCAATTTGCCAAAATTATGGTTAAAAGAGAAATGATTTAAAACATTTACACTTCATTAGGCCCTCCATCAAATCAATGGAGAAAAGTTTGGGGAGGGTTTAGCTGAAAATAAAATGAAATTTATGGAAGGGAAAAGAGAAATTCATAGGAGTTCGGGTATCAGTCTGAGGAATATATTCTTGAATTGTCTCAGACAGAAGATACAAAATCAGCATCGACAAGTTCTGTGAAAGTCGCGTAAAAAATTTATATAAGTCC